ATAGGCCCAGGTGAGTCTCTTATGATGACAAGGCTGAGCATTTTTCTGTTTGATACTCTGTATGTGCTATCTTTCCAGTCTATTTAGTGCCCAAGTCTTTTTTGCTGTGCGCATGATTTGCTAGTAACCGATTGCTTATGGTTATGGATTATTATAGCAATATTGCTTCAGATTGAACTACTAACTACCATATGAATAGTATCAAACATTTGCTCCATGATAGGTTTTCCAAATCCTAGAGGATATGTATTTAGTAGTGTGTGGCTAATTAAATTTGATCATCTAGCTGTTTGATTTGGTTAAACATAGTTATAGTTATACTAGTTTAAACTGATCATGTTACTGCAGATATGAATATATGGTTACAAAAGGCTTTCTACTTGTAGCATATAGGAAATTTGCTTCCAGCTCACAGCGGGTTTCACTTAGTAGAACCATCCTCCATTGTTATTTCCTGAGACTAAAAGTAGCTTAACCCTGAATCCCTGGCACGGCAACAAATCCTGAATTTCTTCTCCAGATATGAAAGTACTTAAAACAGAAGCAACTTATAGGTTGTGTGATATTTCTCAAGACGATTTTCCACATGCCTGCACACCAAATAGGCCATAAACAATAGCCTTGTGCCGTTGCGCGCCCCGTAGATACATACTTTTGTGGTTATAATGAGGGCCCACTTGTGAGAAAGTTGGCCCAAGTGTCCAACAGAACACCCTGGCAGTTATATGGGTTGTGAATTTGAGCATTAGCTACCTAATTTGTGCAGTTTCCATTTCTATCATCTAATAGCGATTGTTTCATGCAGTCAGTATAATTGCGAGTATTGGTGGCCTTTATGCCTTCAGTATAGCGATATTTCTCTGCCTCATGGCTCAAGTAAGTTCATGGACAATTTACTGTTTTTTTTTACTTTGTGACACTGAAAAAAAGGAATAAGCATGCGACGACGCGTAAACTGATTTGGTATGCAACTGACTATTATTTGGACTCTTCAGTGTGAAGCTAGGATAAAGAAGCTCCGTAATGAGGATACAAGAATGCTGAAAATTCTGAGCAAACGGCGAGCTCAACAGAATTGGGATAAGGTGAAGCATTGCTTGGTCCAACGATGAACATCATATAATATACATGGCATCCATGGGGCTGCATCTCTGATTAATAAATGATACTGATTTTGTTGTTTATAGGTGAGAAAGTTTGTGATGTATACCTGGGGCCCTAGCAACTTGGATCCAAGTGACAGAAGTGGCAAGTACCCTGAAGCTTCAATGATGGATTCTCTCCATGAATCCTTCCACAAGAAAAGAAAACCGACTAGACGAGCTACCTCGATTGCTACCAGAACGATGAGAGATCATCCTGATGTGGTAAATTAAATGCCCCTTTTTAATAGTGTCTACTGATAAATTTTGTGCACTATAGTACTATATCTAGTTTTGCAAGTTTGTGTTGTTATTCCATTCAGTTTGTCGAATCCTACTAGTACTGTTCTTTAGAAAAAATCTTACCTTCTGTGCATGATACCGCGTACAGGGAGCAATTGACATCGAAAGAGCTGGGTAAATGCAGCAGTAGACAACAACCTTGACGCGCCTGTATGGACGACTCCTGCAGGAAGAAGTTTGTATGGTTGAGTGACGCGACCAGCCATACCGGAGATTCTTTTATTTTTGTCAATATGATCTATCTCAAGGCAAAAATTGTACAGCGGTAGGTAGGTTGTAAAGTTGCAAATAGCTTGATTTCGTTGGACGGGCACGATTCCTTTTCTTAAGCATGTGATGAATGGGATTATGGATGTGTGACTGGATCTCCTTTTCTTTTCAGCAATTCATCCATCCATGTGAACTTGCAATAGCCTAGAAGACCCCTTTTGTTGTTAGTTCCTGTAGTGGATTACTTTATGTTTTTTTAGAAGGGGATAACTTTTCCGTGTTCCCTCCTTTTATGCCACCACTGAAAGGTGGAACTGGATCAATTATGTCAAGCCATTTAGTTGGGAATCTTAAAGTAGATGGCAGTAAATAAATTAAGGGTGTTGTTTTGCTGAAGGAGTAAACAGCCCTCTGCGGTACCTAAAGTTAACATGAGTTGTAAAAATCACCATAACATTTTCACAATTGTGGCTATCAAATCAATCAACTGCCACACACAAAATGCATAGTTGTTGTAATTTGACTATTCGTTATGTATGATGAGCCTTTTTCCCCCGAGAAAATAATGTCTAACAGGAGTAAACTAATACTCGTTTTGTTCCCCCCTTTGTTCCTTTATTAGCACTGCAAATGCGCACTACAATTCAGAACTTTAGCAACAACAAAACAAGGGACTATAAAGAGGAATGGAGGGAGTATTTGAGTTGCATGGGCTGACCAAATTCTCCAACAAATTTCCCAAGTAATTCCCTTGGATGGTGCGCAACAAAGTAAATTCATAAAATTTGGAGGAATGAAGACAGTGAGTAGAGGGAAGTCCATTGAAGTTCTCAAAGGAACAAAATTCAAACACTTGTTAGATTCCCTATAAGATGTGGAGGTCAAAAGAATGCATTCCATATAAAATTTACAACCCCCAATCCTATGCAGGGACACCTATTTTTCCCTGATGATCTGGCCAATTATCTCTTTCTCCTGTTTTTTCCTGATGCTCTTGCCAAAATACAGTAGGGAAAGGATCATAGTGCAGAGTTTTATAAATTAAAAAAACATGTACATAGAGAATATTTACAGGTATGCAGAGAGTACAGGAAGTGTTACAAATTATGTTGTATCCAACCTTTGAAGTTATTCGAGTGCTTTTGTACTCTCTGGATAACCAGAGTAAGATCCTCTCTGAAATTTCTGAGCCATCTCTCCCAAGATAAAGCAGAGAGCACAAACAGCCCCGCTTGCCCAGCAAGTACCCTGGGGATGACTGCATTGCACGTTGAGGAGCGCAACAACGCCGCCGAAGAGCATCGCACCTTTGATGTCATGTCACGATATCAAGAGCCGCTGGCGCCAAATGCTACGCTGAGGCACCACTGCACCTCCTGTCAGTAGCTTACCTGACAGACAACAGCCAACACCTGAAAAGCAACTCTGAGCACCTTGCGAGGCATCACCGCCAACACCGGAAAAAAGAGAAGCCTGGAAGGTTCGTCCTTCAGTTGCAAAATGCGGTAGCAAGGGGCCCCAGTTCCTAAACAGTATCCAGCGCTTGATACTTCCATCAACCCAGACTAAATCATTCCACCATTGCGTTTCTCCTATTATCGTTGCGAAGAATGGGTTATTTTCAGTGACACCAATGGGGATTCCCTTCAGTTTCGCACAGCCCTTCACCTTCAAGTCCTTGAGAGACGGCAAGACCCCTCCGCAGATGCAGCTAATCTCTGGAAGCTCCCACAGCTGCAGCGACTGTAGCCTCGGAAGAGCATGTTCCGTGGCGACCGATTCGTCTAACACTCTCTCCAAGCTGTCACAGAACCTTATTTGTAGGCTACGAAGATTCAGCAGGCGCAGGGATGAAGGAAAGAGGAAGTTCAGTTTTGGACAGCAATCGAGGAGCAAGTGCATCAGACAACTGAAACTAGTCAAATCTTCCATCCCTTGGCAGAAGTATGCTAAATTATCCATGTTAGAGATCCATATATTCTGCAATTTGACCATTGTAGCCACTTCTTCCAGTAAGAATATATTCTCCAGTTGGTGACAGTCCTCTACCCAAAGTTCTTGTGCTGCTGTCAGTCTTCCAGTATTCAGCGTCCATACCAGATTTGTCAGTGTTATACTTTTTAATGATATTAGCTCAGCGTGTCTAAGAATCCCTTCGAGATCATCAGGATTGCTGACACATTTTATCTCCAAAACCCTATCGAAATCACCTGACTGTCTGTCCATCAAAGAAAATTTTGTCCTCCATACTTCAAAGCCATTGTCCATTGTTTGGTCAGAGTTTAAAGGGGAGATAACTATGTGAAACTTTCGAAAGCAGTTTGACCACAGTGTAGAGTCTTTGTCCAAAGACAAAGACTGAGCGAAGTTGGCCTGACTTGAATAAATGTATGTTTTTCCGTCCTGGTTTACATCTTGAGAGACCCTCATGCCAAATCTGTCAGACAACTCGAAAGTAAGTCCACGCGGCAACCAAAGCATGGCCTTCCAATCCACCGGATCCTTACTTACTCCTATCTGGAGGTTACTGACAGCACCTGTTTTTGAAACTCCATAAGGGAACTTGATAAATGCTGTTGTATCACATGAATTGTGGTTTGTTTCTGTAGTTTGCTCAAACTTGAGGCATGGGCAATCTTGTAGCAGAAGTTGGTTAAGCTCCATGCACGCAGCCAGGGATGGCAAGCATTCGATAGAAGTTCTCGAAAGGTCGAGGATCTTGAGCAACCCCATACGGTCAAATGATCCACATTCTACCCTTTTTAGGGAGCCACAACCTGATGCACTCAGTGCCTCCAGCATCTCCAGCGAGCCTATGTGCTGAATTCTCTCCAAGTGTCCACATCCAACCAGTAGCAGCAACCGGAGGTGAAACAGACGAGAAATGGACTGGGGAAGGGTTCTGATTGGAGTGAAGGACAGGTCTAGCACTCTAAGCATTCCCACGCGGCAAAAGAATTCTTCCGATATACTTCTCATATGGCGGTTCCCTCTTAAAAGTAGCGTCGAAGTTGAAAAGCACTCATGACTTGGGCTTGCACGGAGTTCTTCCTTCACTGTGTTGTTCATCAAGGAAATCCTTCTGCCAAACTTGGCAAGAAGATACTCAAATGGAATGTCATTGTTGGGGTATTTTTCAGGCTGCTCCACATAGCCATTCTCACGTCCAACTTGTGATACCGTCTCTCTGATGACATCATGGATGCGGATATGATGGTCACCCTCAAAATGAATCAAACCATGCTTTAAAAGCACATGGAGAATTTCCTCACCATAATAGTTAGCCTCATGAGAATCTCTAGCTTCTTGAATGATACCATCCAGCTTCCATAAAATGATCAGGTCTTAGACAGGAATTGCTTCATCGTCAGGGAAGAGTAGGCAGTATAGGAACCAGCGCCTGGCAGTATCACTAGGAAGCCGACGGTAACAAAACTTTACAAGGCGAACCATTGTGGTGAACACTGATATCTTGGGTCCTAGAGCCACATAAGCTTCACTTATTAACTTGCTCGACTCTTGTGCAGGCATATCACACAGTGCCCCAGCCAGTAAGATAATCGACAATGGCATGCCAAAACAGTTGTCAACTAACTCCAGATCAATATCCTTGCCGATCTTCTCGCGCAGTAGGTCATATGAGGCCTGATCTGTGAGTGGTTGTGGCGATATAAGTATAGCTGGATCCATGACTGAAACTGTCCTCCCGGTTCTTGTGGTCACAATGACCTTTGAACCTAAACTCTGCTCTCGAGGACATGGAATCCCCAATTTCCCTAAGATGTTTTCCTCGACAAAATAAGCATTGTCGAGAACCAACAAGAACTTTCGTCTCGTGAGATGCTCCTTGATCATCACCCTAATTCTCGACGATAACAGTTCTGCACCAATGTCAATTAAAAGACATGTGGCAATCTTCTCAGTGCACCGTCTCAGACTACAACTTGTAGACAATGAAACCCAGATATAGGTATCAAAGCGATTAGAGTTCCTTGCGGTTTCAAATGCCTCTTTTGCCGCCCATGTCTTTCCCAAGCCGCCAATGCCCTCGATGGCAACCACTTCACCTTCTGGACGAAGAATCAGGCAAAGCATGTCTTGGAGCGTTATCAACCGATACCGTGGTACAGTAAAGCTTGGCAAACGAGTCCTTGATTTCCTAAAACAGCAGTAGGACGCCATGGCCGGCACACCTCGTATTTTGTCAGCCCTTGTGCTTGGGTTGCGCCTGGAGTCACAAGAAATCAGCTCGTGTACCTGCGTGGCGGACAAGTTCTTGCATTGTTAACTAGTCAATGGTGTTGGCTAATGTGTGAACTTGTTGCCAAATAGTATGAAATTCCAGTTCTTGATAATCTAGGTGTAGTTGACGCCCTTAGGCAAATATCCTTTTTCAAGTTTGCACCTCAAAGCAGCATCCCGGTTAACTGAAAATAATTACATTTCTTTCCATGAAAGAAGAGAACTGAAACAAGCTGTTGTGAAGGCTACATATGATATGAGAGAATTCACCCTTTGTGTGCGCAAAGCTTCGGGAGGTAAATTCAAGAGAACATGCTAGATAATTCCTTGTTGAGACTGATGAAATATGGGTTCTCCTCCTTTAATAAACAAAATAGGTGGACCGGATCCGGTCCCTAGCTTAGGTCCGTTTGGCAACATGCATAGCTAGCTAGCAAGCAAACATGGGGAGCACTGATAAGGATAACAGATGCAAAGGTTGTTGCACTTGCACGCCATTGCTCCATGTTTGTCTTCCAGAGAGACAATGCCTGAACTGCAGGAGCGGCGTGTATCTTTTGAGATTTTTTCCTGTGAAAAACCTTTTAAGCAATTTAATCACCCATTTTTTTAGTCTAAATCTAAACACATTCACTTTATTGATCAATGTCCAAATACATGAGAATATAATTTAAGTCCGGGGGTTAAAGGAGCCATAAATAGCGCGTAGATGACCACAAAATAATTAGATGGGCCTTTTATGGTCTTTCATAGAAAGACCGTGAAAAATAATTAGGTCAAAATAAATCAACATCGTGGGAATTGAATACAAGGCCTCTTGTCTATCTTTTAAATGTAACTAATCCCAACTCATTTTAAATATACGAGCGGCAGTCATCATGTTTAATTTTTTTTGCGAGAAAAGGAGTTGATATTAAAACAGCCAAATTACAGAAAGGTCCACACAAAAAAGGAAATTGCAACCAAGCCCCTCTGCAACCCGACTACGCCGGCACCGTGGACGAGCCGATGACGCGCCGTTTGCGGCTGCTCGCTGACGCCTTGGATCAAAGCAGCCCCCAGGCAAAATGGGAAGTCTCTGATCAACGGTCCCTAAGGACCTACACCCATGGCTGTCGTCGTCGTCGCACCGCTCAACATCGCCTTCCTTCTCCAGATCTTCAACCGTCGGAATTGTCATCCCTCGATCTCCAGCACGGGGGAACCGTGCACGGCCGCTTCACCGAGCAGCGAGCACAAAGAAAGGAGCTGGTCCACACCGAAGCTCCACCGGAACTTCGCCGTCAAAGGGGAGACCAACACCTGCAAAAAGCTGATCAAGTCGTGCCGCCGCCTCCACGACGCCACCGGCTGGCTCCCTAGGCACGCCTACACTATGTACACGTTGCAAATAGGGCCTCCCCCGTCCTCCCGCCGCCGGAGCGGCTGGCGGAGGGCGAGGGAGCCGCCGATTCGGCAACGGCGAGGTGGAGAGCCTGGGGTTCGCACAAATCGCCCTTCGTTCCTGTAGATGGGGAAGGGTGAGGTCCAAGGCTCATGTTTAGGGAGAGGAGTAAAGCGGGTGAGGACTTCATGGTAATTAATGAAAGGGTTATGCTTAAATGCCATTAAAAATGATTGTACTTAAATGGAATCAGTGGGAGATTATGCCCCACAAAGAAAATATGAACACGACTAAATTGCAACATATTTTTTTATGTTCATTTTGTAGAAGGGCGATGTTGCGTTGCAACATGTTCTTCATAATGAATCCGATGTTGTGGGACATTATGCTTGTGCAAAACATCAATTTTATCCGTTGCAACGCACGTGCATATGTGCTAGTAATAATATTAATTCAGGTCCATAGACCATCTAGCAATGACCACAAACACTGGAGCGAGCTGAAAATGCACTGACGTCATCGCTCCTCCCTCACTAGAGTCGGGCAGAAGTTGTTGCAGTAGACACTCAAGAAGTCGTGCTAAGGCCCCACGGGACTAATGCACCTGAACAACAAACGTCACCGATGAAGAGAAGAGTAGATCAGAAGAATTAACTATAGACACACGAACGATCACGATCCTAAAGTGTGCTTAACAAGGCTATGTGCCTCGTAGTTTGTCTCCTGCCATTTGAAGATGAAGTATCACTCAGATAGTTGTGTTGTCGTTGCTTTGATCTCCTTCACAATGCCAACTTCTATTTTCTACTATGTGTTTCATTTGTGTTTTTCCTTCTAAACATTACTTCTGATTCCTATGTGTTTTATTTATAGTTTTATACACAAGTTTCTCAGTAGCTTCCATCTTTTGGCAAGGAGGTCAAGAAGAAGAAGAAAAATGGGCTAACCAAACTGATAAGAAAATAGGCAGTTTTTCGATTAAATTAATTCATGAATAAATCATAAATATGACATGGACAGCATTGATAACATAGTGATTACGATCTAACAGAGCATGTACTAGGCATATAGTAGAAACATCTACGCATATTGCTAGTACTGCTACAACAGAAAGAAACACGAGAAGGATAAACGATGTATACCCTCCAATCGGCCACACAGCGGTGGTGGCGGTGGCAGCAACCGCGGCATCCTCGGCGGCCTTCTTGTCGGCCTCGGACTTCTCAGCGGCAGCACGGTCGGCGTCGGTCGACATGGTGACGACAAAGGTGATGCGGACGTAGATGAACAGAAGCGAGCAGTCGCGTAATCGCTACCCAAAAACCTAATCGCCCCTCTCCCGTACAGGATCCGGAGAAGCGGGGTTTAGGAGGCCTGTTCTCCCGTCAACCGTGTACGCGGTGAACGGGACGGAGTCATCGGTGGCAGCAGCAGCAAAGGAACGACGTGGGCGTGGAGGCGGAGATGTGTTCTGTTTCGTGGCGGCTAGGGTTGGCAGCGTCCCACATATATATGTGCGGCCGCGGGTGGAGAGACGTGGGCTGAACCCACGTCCAAGTCGGTAGCCCACGATCCGACGTCTCAGATCATGGCCCTACCTGTCAAAGACTCTCCGTTCCTGACCGGCAAAAGAAGCGCATAGGAGTGAGCTTGGCTCGGCTCAATCCCGCAACCCGCGGCGCGGCACGGCGCGTCGTGGCGAGGCGTGGCGTGGCGTGGCGTGGCGTGGCGAGGCGAGCGGAGGAGGAGGAGTGCACGAGGGCCTCATCTCTTCTCAAGCTCCAATAGCATGAGGGAGAGGATCCCTTATAAACCACTTCAACTCTCCTTCCACTTCCGGGGTGGGAATAAACTTCCCACCACCTTGTCATGCCACCTACATGGGCCCTTAGAGATCAAATCTGAAATTGTCATATGGGCTCTAGGCCCATCTCATATTTCAACAATCCCCCACCAGATCTCAGGGGCCCACTTTGTCCTTTGTTCCAAACGCTATTTTGATATATACCAGCATCTCAGTGAAGACCGATTAAGGTTGAGCTCCACCTAGACCAAGTAGTTGCACTCCTTCATAACTGAACAATGGACTATGCCTTGAATTTTTAATTTGGCGTCAAGAAGTTTCACCACAAGTCCCATTGATACGAGGCTGCCGAAGGCCGACCCCTCGGGTGGAGCATATTAGTCACACTCCTGGCCTGTTCATGAGCTTGCTAGAGATCACCCCAATCTCATAGACTGTGACTAGTAGTCGGGCTCATATATGTGTGTTCCTCCAAAGATCGCTCTGTAGGATAGCATCTTGCTTATGCATATAAGCCTTGGAACACATTAAGACAGTAGTCATCCTTCCATACAGTTTCCGAGAGTATTGCATCTCCAACGGAGTGGGTAATTAAAGTTACTCTACTCAGTTCACCACTGGCTTGTTTTCCCAGGTCCTACTTCACGGGATCTCCGATCACATAGGTTGGGTTACTACCAAGGCAACTCATGTGGGTCTCATACCCATCTCCCTTGATGCGCTATCTATCACAACACGTGATAGCCCTTTAGTAAAGGGATCTGTCAGATTCTTAGCCGTTTGAATATAATCCAATGCTATCACTCCGGAGTTCCTCAATTTTCTGACAGCTTTCAATCTCATTCTTATGTGTTTGTTGGACTTCATGTTGTCCTTTGAACTCTTCACCTTGACAATAACTGTTTGGTTGTCACAGTTCATAAGGACGGCCGGAACCGGCTTCTCAACCACTGGCAAGTCCATCAACAGATCTCGAAGCCATTCTGCTTCGCCACCCAATGTGTCTAATGCTGTTAATTCTGCTTCCATTGTCGATCTTGTTAAGATCGTGTGCTTGCAAGACTTCCAGGAAACAGCATCACCTCCAAGAGTAAACATATACCCAGTCGTGGCCTTCATCTCATCAGCATCAGAGATTCAATTCGCATCACTATACCCTTCAAGTACCGACGGGTATCCGGTATAGTGAAGTCCATAGTTCATAGTACCTTTCAGATAGCGCATAACTCTCTCAAGAGCACGCCAATGTACATCACCCGGTTTGGAAACAAACCGGCTCAGTTTGCTAATAGAAAATGCGATGTCAGGCCTCGTTGCACTCGCTAGATACTGGAGTGAACCAACAATCTGAGAGTATCTCAATTGATCTATAGCTATGCCTTTAGACTTTCGAATCAGCACACTAGGATCATATGTTGTTTGAGATGGTTTGCAGTCTGAATATCCAAAACGACTCAGCACTTTCTCAACATAATGGGATTGCAGAAGTGTAATCCCACCTTCATCATCTCTCAATAGCTTGATGTTCAAGATAACATCAACCACTCCAAGGTCCTTCATCTCAAAGTTCTGAGATAGGAAAGACTTAACTTCCTCGATCAGCTTGAGATTAGTCCCAAATATCAATATGTCATCAACATACAAACACAATATAACTCATTCGCCCCCACCATAGCGATAGTATACACATTTGTCAGCCTCATTAACAACAAAGCCAACAGATGTCAACGTTTCATTAAACTAGTCATGCCA